AATGAAAACAACACACAGAAGACACATGATAAGAAACCCCAAACCAGAAAGGTCCAGGGTGAAGAAGGGAAAAAGCTACAAGGAAATCAGCTTGGACAGATCTGCCTCACAACACACTGAATAACAATCATTACACACGTCGACTCAGCCCCATGTGTTTGCTGCTGAACTGACGACTGATGTCTCAGCACCGCCCTGCTTAAGGCTGTAATTCTGAAAACGTTAATTTCTCCTGTGCTGTCTAGAAATACCACCTTATTTGATTTCTCACTCAAATAGGATGTAAAGAACACACATAAACTCCCAAGTGGAGGGTGTGTGGGTAAGTGAAGCAACCGCATACGATTGAAAGAAAGAGAGAATGACCTTCAAGAAAATCCTACTGGCTACACCGACTCATTTCTTTTAATTCAAAGATGCAAAGATGTGGATACTACAACTGGGGATTCCTATAAAAAGATTTTTCCAATACAGGCACACATCAGTTCACTGACCTTTACAGATACTGAGTTTTTTTTTTTTTTACAAATGGTAGGTTTGTGGCGACCCTGCATCGAGCAAGTCTATCAGCATCATTTTTCTAATAGAATTTGCTCACTTTTTGTCTCTGTGTCACATCCCCCTCAGTAGTTTCCACAATATTTCAAGCTTTTTCATTATTATTAGGTTTGTTATGTGATCTGTGATCAGTGATCTTTGATGAAACTACTGGAAAAAGATTATGACTCGCTGAAGGGTCGGATGACAGCATTTTTAGCAATGAAAGCATTTTTAAGTTAAGGTATGTACTTTTTAAAGACATAATTCTATTGCACACTCAGCACACTACAGTACAGTGTAAAACAAATTTTATATGTGTGGAGGGGGAGGGTATAGCTCAGTGGTAGAGCACAGGCTTAGCATGCACAAGGTCCTGGGTTCAATCCCCAGTTACTCCTCTAAAAATAAATAAGTAAACCCAATTACCTGCCCACCCCCCCCCCAAAAAGTCTTATTTATACGCGTGGGGAAATCAAAAATCTGTATGACTTGCTTTACCGTGATATTTGCTTTATTTGTGGTGATCTGGAACCAAACCCGCAGTATCTCTGAGGTCTGTCTGTATTCAGGCAAAACATTTAGGGTTTAGGTCATTCACAAAGTATATTTTTAAGAATGAAAAGAGCCAGCCAGTGCTCTAGTGAGACAAGCTCTTTCACTCATTAGTCAGTGGGAGCATAAACCGGCACAACCTTTCTGGAAGGCACTTAACAACAGGTATAGAAAATCTTAAAAGCGTGTATTTTTTAAACCAATAATTTTGTGTCTGAGAACTTATCCCAAGAAAATAATCAAGGATGCTTGCAAATCCTTAATAGTAGTAATAGCAGAACTAGAAGTAGTAACGACAGGTATCATTATTGAACTTGGTGGCAGGCCCTGCCCTAAGGAAGCAGAGACGTGCACCACGGTGGGACCTGCCAGAGTGAAGCACTGGAAATTGCCAGATGTCCACGAATAGCAGGCGGACTGAAGAGACTCTAGTAGATCACAGTAAGGGTCAAGCCAGCTATTGCAAACATGCAAGTGTTGACACTTGTAAAGGTACAGCAGAAATACTATACAACAATGGTAGGATATGATTTAAATTCACATACAACATAAAATCATATTTTAAAAATATAAAATGATTTCCTTCACGATTCTACATGAACTTGTATTGCTACTACTTATATACTATAAAACCAGTAAAACTCTTTAAAGTCGAGATGGTTACTTCTTTAAAAAAAGGTAATTCTAGCAATGTCAAAAATCCTCTAAAATGTCAAGCATATGACCAAGTATATGAAGAGAGACAAAATGCACTGTACAGATTACCAGCAATTCTTGACACTGAGGGGTTAATGGTTTAGATGGTGAGAGTGGAGAACTATAAATTCTTTTTACGAATTAGAAAGTGACACACTTTCTGTCTCCTCTGTGATCTTTGTGGTTATACAGTTTATTCCTTTAAGAACAAGCAATTGCCGCTTCCAACTTGCTGCTGAATCTCTATTAAGGCACAGAAAAGGTATAAAGATACACTAAAAGCCAAGTTCTCACCTGTTAAAACCTCTTATGAGGTACTGTAATAAACACAGTATGATACTGGCATAGGAACTGACTATGGAACAAAATAGTGAGCCCTGAAATAGATTCAAGCATAGACGGGGATTTAATATCAGACAAAGGTGGAATTTCAGTTTAGTGGAAAAAAGAGAAATTTTTAAAATCAATGGAATTAGAATAGCTGGTTATTTACTTGGAATAAGACAGAGCTGGACCCTTAATATCACACCATGTACAAAACTAAATCCCAGAGCTGTAATTTTTTTGGGGGGGAAGAAACTCAAAAGCTATAAAGAAAAAGACATATTTCATTATATTAAGTGAAAAATCTTCATGTCAAAGAGTATACCATGAACAGAGCCAAATGACAAATGATAGCTTGGGAAGAATAGTTGCAGCACATGAAGATAACAGCTCCCACAAATTCACAAGAAAAAGACAAGCAACTCAACAGGAGAATGGGCCAGTGATACGAATAAACAGATAACAGAGGGAGCAGTCCAAAATAAGCCAATAAACACACCCTCACCAGCAGCCAAACCCTGAGCCTGGCCAACCTCTTGGGTAGGTATAAAGGAAAAAAACCCAAAGCATTACATCTGTAAACAACAACAAAACTACCAGTGGCAAGCACTGAAGATCACAGGTAGGGATCTGACCACACAGAAGAACACATGCATGACAGTAAGCTACCACGGCAGACAAAAACAGTCAACTTGCAAACTTACAAGCCATCTTGAGAAAGAAAACAGAACTGAGTAAAAGCAATATTTAAAAAAAATTAATAGAAGGAAACTGTTTTAAGGTGAAAAAGAATTTGGTATTCCACTCCAAAAGTTTTCCTGAGTTCTACGAAAAATAAGTGAAAGAGATGAACACTTAGAAACATCTTCTCAATTGGAAGGAAGGGAAAAACTTCCATTATTTGCACACGATTATTATTTCTTACCAAGAAAAACTAACAGAATCAACAAATATGAATCAATAAAGGTTTCATTCAACATAAGACAGTATTACTTCTCTATACCAACACTGCCATGGAGAAAATGTAATTTAAAAAATTTCACAGCAGCTACAAAAAACAGTATCTAGGAATTATCCATGAGTTCCTAAGGCCTTTCTAAGTCTAAAAGTCAACGAAGTGATTTAAATAAGCCTATTCCATACTCTTAAGATGATTTAATACTATAAAAATGTTAATCCTTTCAAATTAATCTATAAATTCAGTGCGATTCTAATAAAAAGTATTGTTGAATTTAATGAACTCATTAAACACCCATTAAAATTTATATTACAGAATAAAGGTCTATGCATAAGGTAATCAACCTTAATAAAGAAGAGAAGATGGTCTTATCTGACCGTGTACTAAGACATACTACCAGAGAACCAAGTGGCATTAGTGCAGAAACAGGCAGATATAAAAGCAGAACAGAGCAGAGTTCTCAGAAACAGAACACAGTACATACAATATATAAAAACAGAATACATAATAGAAGTGGTACCACAAATGAATGGGAAAAGGACAGACTGTTCAGTAGATGGTATTGAGAAAACTTGCTCACCATATAGAAGTGAAACTGGATTTCTATGTGAAACCACATACATAGGGAGATTCTGAATGGATTAAAGACCTAAAGTGAAAGGTAAAACTGTACAGTTCATAACAGAAAATATACGACAGTCCCTTTGTGACCTAGAGACAAGGAAAGCCCTCTTGCACAAAATTCCAAATCACAAAACATAAGGCAAAAAAAAAAATGAAGAATTTGACTATGTCAGAAAGAAGGATTCTCTTCAACAAAGCATACTGGAAAGTTCATAAGAATGTGTACAGAAAAGGAGAATATATTTATAATGTCTAAAGTGAGTAAGAGATGAAAGTTTCAAATATTTAAGGAATTCCTCTTAATCAACGAGAAAATGGTACCACTCCAGTAGAAAGACAGATAAAAGAGATGAACAGGCAGTTTATAGGAAAATCCAAAAAGCAAACAGACATTTAATGAGATGCTCAAATTCAACAGTAACCCAAGAAACACAAAGTAAACAGCAACGAGTTATCATTATATTTATTAGTCTGGTAAAATTTAGGTATCTGGCTGATACTGGTGAAGACATGGGCAAACAGTAACCCCCACATACGGCTGGTAGTGTGCAAACTGGCAGTCATTCTGGAGAGGAGCTTGGAACCACTCACACCAATTAGGTCTGCCTATACCCATGACTCAGCCACCTTTCTCCTGAGATACACATCCCAAGGTCATTCTCACAGAGGCACGTGATTTCTCTTTCTATGCATATATAATTTTTTCCATTAAAGTGGTTCATGTAGAAGGTATGAAAATGGGTAAGGAGGATAAAAAGAAACACTCGAACGAGTGAATGTAATGAGAAGGGCCCCTGCACAGATCAATGATGACAGATCCCATGATCATTGATCCCATGTCATCATTGATCAACAGATCCTATGATCTTATGAGCATCGCTGAGTCAGCACTCCACACATTGGGCAAGGGCTCGTGGTGGGTCATGATGGGGGAGGGAGGTGGTTTCAAACATGCCAGCCAAGCTCTTGAATTACAAGATAGAAAAAGTTCTTTATGCAATTAAGCTGAAACAACTCAGTTCACTACAACAGACAAAAAAAAAACAAAACCAGACTGCTTCAGACATCTCCCTGATTTTAAATACCAGAAGACAAAATATCTTCAGAGTTTTGAGGATAAAATAATGCTGAGCTCAAGCAGCCAAGTAAGTTTCCCATGTGTGAAGGCAACAGAAAATGTTCTAAGATATGCACAGATGCAGAAAATATACCATCGTGAACATTTCTTGAATCAAAGAAAGCATTCAACTAATCTTTAAGAGCATGAAAGCAAAGGATTATCTTTATGTGTAAACTATAAAATTACCTTTTGTAGGAAGAGGACAATCCTTACGAGCATCTGGGCACGGAGTTCTTCCAAGGTAAACAATGTTCGGGGTGTTCGAATGAAAATTTTGGTTTTCCCATAAGCTACATCATCCTGAAAACCACAATGTTCAATCAGTTTCTTAACAGCCTCTTTGTCTGAAGGAAGGTCATGGTTGGGCCAGGTGAACTCAGAGATCATTTTGTACCTGGATGAAAAAAAAGACCAGGGCACAGATTAAGGGAGAAAAACTATACGTTATCAATAGATTGAGAAAAGCTACTCAATAAAATTCAAGATGCTTCATAGAAATTAAAAAAAAATTCTTAGCAAACTAGGAATAGTGGTGAATTTCTTTAGCCTGATAAGAGACACAGAAAAAGCCTTCAATAAGATACAACACTCCCTCAGGATAATAATAATAGTTACTAAACTGGGGTTAGAAGGATATTTCTTAACTTAATAAAAGCTATTTACTAAAACCTTGCAGCAAATATTATTTGTAAAGGGGGAGCCTTGGAAGCATTCTCTTTACAAACAGAAACAAAACAAGGATGCCTTTATCATGGGTTTGTGAGTTGGTCAATGACTGGAGAACAAACAAAATTAATATTGCTTATGAGCAATACAACTCATTTCAAAGGAAATCAAGCAGATCTTCAGACAAACTATTGTTGCTAAAAGAACACTACACAGTGTTCTGCACATAAGGTCAATACACAAAAATCATTTTCAAGTCTCGACGCAAGCAGCCAATAGTTCCTTGATACATGGGGCTGTCACAGGTTAGTTCAGTACACACCAGCTTCCTCATGAGGGTGAATGTGAGCAAGACGGAAGTCAGAGAGTCACAGCCTTTTGCAGCCTAATCTCACAAGTGACATCCCATCACTTTTGCCATATTCCATTTTGCCAGAAGCAATTCACTAGGGCCAGCCCACACTCAGGAGAAGAGGATTCCAGCAGGGTATGAATACCAGGAGGTGGGGACAGATCACTGGGACCAGATTAGAAGGCTGCCTACCACAGTACTTCCCCCCCTACCCTTGGTAGAAAGTTGTTTAATACATGTAGTCAGATTTAGTAATGTTTTTCACATGTTGCATCTGAAATTTTAAGTCTTCAGTGAGAAGTGAAAGGCTCTCCTCACGCTCAGGTTACCAAGTACTCCACCTATGTGTTCTTCTAGTACTTGTATGTTTTCATTTTTTACCTTTAGGTCTCTGATCCATTTGGAGTTTATTTTGGTATATGGTGTGAGGTATGGATCCAACTTTACCTTTGGACAAAAGGCTATTTTTGATACCATGCACTAAAAAAGTCTTTCTTCCTCTGATTTAATATGCTATTTTCCTCATATGCTAAATGCTCATGTGTACTTCAGCTCATTTCTGGGTTTTCTGGTCTGTTTCATTGTTTTGTCTTTCCATCTGCCATCAGTACTGCACTGCTTTAATTACAGATGTTCTAAGTATATTTTATTATCTGGTGGTCTCTTCTTTTTTAAAGGTCTTTCTAGCTATTCCTGCATGTTTATTTTTCTATATGAACTTTAGAAGCAATTTCATAGTTCAGGGAAAGGCAATCACAAGACAAACACATCCTTGCTGGTATTTTTATTGGGTTCCCACATTAAATTCATTAAATTTATCTATGATGTTAGATTGTCCTATCCAAGAACAAAGGACACCTTTCCACTTGTTCAAGTCTACTTCTGCACCTTTAAGGAGTCTTCATGTTTTCCTCCTAGGCCTTTGCACATTTCTGGTAAGACAATACACAGCTAAGAGGCATCTGACCCCCGCTTACTCTCTCTCTCTCTTCCTAATTTTCCACCCCAGCTTCCATGGCAGCATGCTCTTCCTGGATTCCTTCTGTCTCTCTGAATATTTCTTCTCTGGCTACTGTTCTTTCACCACTGGACCGTAAAATGCTGGAGTGCTTCAGGGCTCACATCAAGCGCTCTTCTCTCTGTGTACACCCTCCCATGTCACTTCATCTAAAAATCCACTTTATTTTTCAACTCATGCATTCATTATCCTGAGCCCAGTTCTGAGCTTCAAACTCATGTATCCAGTGCTTACAAAGATCTCAAAGGCATCTTGAACTCCTCTTTCAGCCTTTCCCACTTCAGTGTCCTCTGTTACTAAAGCTGGAATCCCGGGAATCATATCTGATTTCTTCTCTTTTCTATCACCCCTTCTAATCCACCATCCAGTTTACTGACTCTACCTCCAAAATCTATTCAAAATTCAACTATTCTCATCATTACTGCCACAATCCTGATTCAGGCCACCATCAAGTTTACTACAATAGACTCCTAAACTGTTTTCCATTTTCTCTCCAATCCATTCTGCATATTTAGCAGCTAGAGTAATTTTCTAAAAAGCCTCTCATCAATTTTATTTTTTACTACCCTCCTCCTTCTGTTACTGTATGCCAATCACCTTAGCCTTCTTTTTAGGGTCCGATGATGTGGTTGCCTCCTTCTTGCTTTGGAGACTTTGCATATGCTGTTCCCATTGCCTGGAATGCCTTTTAATCTTTGAAAGGCTGAGACTTGTTCTTATCCTTTAGCCTTTGTTTGATCTTCTTTCATCAACCATCAACCCTCATCCCCCTTACTCCTCCCTAAGGCAGCCAGCTGGGTTTTTTTTTCCCTCCCACTATTCATCATCATTCATAATCATATTGACTTGTGGGTTGACCAGTTGAATGTCAGTCTACGGGTACCACGAAGGCAGGGATTTTGTTTTGTTTCCCACCATATGCCATGTGCCTATGACACTGTCTGCCACACTATGAGGAAAGAGATATCCATCTATTGAATGAAAGGAAGAACAAAAGGATACACATTTAAAAGGCTTCTCACTTGCCAGATAAGAGACAGAAACAGAAACCAAATGGAAGAGTTCTAATATGAAGAGAGAGAAATACTACACAATGTCACATGAAAAAAAGGGAAACAAAATTAAAAACCTTCCAAATCTGTTATAAAACTAGAATAGGAGTCAACAGGCAGGAATGGCATGTGTGTCTGAAGTTTCAGCTACACTGCAGAAACCAGAAGCAATCCTACTGCCAGCCTGCTCAGCGGACACTTCAGGGTAACGACACCCTTCCTTTCTTCCCCATGGTCAAGGGCATGCCCCAAGTTCTCCAGCAAACCAGCATCCCAAACTTGCAAATTAAAAGCTGCACTCATCAGCTTTCTGACAACTAGTTTTACCTCCCTCAAAGACTTCAGCAGCTTTTAAGGTTATCAGTACCTTTAAAATTATTCTCTCTCTTTTCCAATAAAAGAATGAAAATCAAAGTGACAAGTAAAAATTTTAGGTTCAAAACTAGCTTACAAAAAAAAAAATCTGCAAACTCTAAAAGCACAAATTCACTGTGGAAAATAATACTTTTTCTCCCACCATGACTGAAAACATTAGCCCAACATCCTACACACCTTCTATTCTACCCCACGTCCCACTGCTAATTAGTTCAATCAGTGTGACAACAAAACGCCAGTTCCTCAATTTGAGCAAACGCATTTTATGCTGAGCGGAAGGTAAACACAGCCTGCAGGGTGGGAACAGACTGTCTCCCCAGGTGCACACCCACCCCCTCATCCAGCGCTCTTCCTACATGACTCCGGAGGGGACCTCACCTCGCTGGAAATCATCATCAGTTAGAGAGACATCAGTCTCTCATAATTCTTTTACATCTTGAACACTTGTACTGTGATTATTAATGTTTCAGTTTTCTCGACCACTCATTTCATGTTTTCGATTAGGTGTGCTTTCTAGTTGTTGCTTTTCACCCCGTCTTCCCTTGGACAGACTGAGTTTTCTTTATTCCATTTTATTCTCTCCTTTGATTTGAAAGCCTCAGTCATGAGGCAAAGCAGCCTTAAAGGCTGTAGGCTCAGGAGCCCACTGTCCGAGTTCAAATGGGGGTAGAAACTCCTCTCCTCACGTGGTTGTGAGCTTCAGGGATTTATTACGTGCAGACTGCTTAAAACAGTGCCTGGTACATACAGTGAGCACTTCACGATGTTAGCACTATTACTGTTACTGTTATGAAAATTTTAATAGGTAAAAATTATATTTATAAGAAAATACATACTCCCCTGTCTAGTTAATTACCATCTATATAAACAATACAAAACTCTTCATGCACCCTTCATGTACTTCTGTATTTCTCACTCCCATTTTGATTTTTGCTGCAAATGATCACAACAAACTTCCTTTCCCCTCTCCCAATTGATACTTGTTCAGATTTCACAAAAAATTTTACTGACTTGTTTACTGTTCAGTGTTGCTTTTTTGCATTCCATGATTTCCCTTCTGCATTTACTTGCTAAATGCGCCCTCTAGAAGGTTTTTCAGAAAGGGTCTATGAAGAGAAAACTTTCTGAGCGTCTATATGTCAGAAGACGTTTTTATTTTACCCACACATCTGAATGATAACTTGGCATGGGATAAAATTCTAAGCACAAAGTTCATTCCTCCTCATTGTGAAGATTTTGCTCCTTTGTCTGTTTGTATCAAATGTTGCTAATGAGAAGTCTGGTGTCTGTATGAGCCTCACTTCCTTATAAGTAGTTTGCCTTTTTTCCTAAGAGCTCTAAGTATTTTTCTTCACATCTAACATACTAAAAGTGAACATAATTTACTTAAGTTTCATTAAAAAAAAACATGTTTTATCCTCAGTGTATTCTTTCAATCTGACCCCTGTTCTCTCTTCTATCCTTCGGGTGCTCCTGTTGGATGGCTTTTGCTCCCCCCCCGGATCAACCTTGTACACAGCCTGACCTTTCTTTAGTACTTCCCATCTCTCTTTCTCTGTGATGAGGTCTGGAAGAAGTCTTCAGCAGGAAGAGACTTCTCTACAGAAGTCTCTAGCTCATTAACTCATTTAAAAGAAGTTTAGTTAAAAAAATTTTTTTTAAAAAATTTTTAAGCTTTGCGTACAGTAAAATGCACACGTTTAAGGATACGATTCAGCAAGTTTTGAAAAATGTGTACAAGCACTGAAACTGACACCCCAATCGAGAGAATCCCCAACCCCCATAATCTCCAGGAGACTGCCCTCTGCCCTTCTCCCTTTCCAAGCGCTGCTCGGATGTCTGTCTGTTCTTGAACTTCACAGAAATGGCAGCATAAAGTATATCCTCTTTGGTGCCTCTTTTTCAAGATGTTTTATTCATCCCTGGTGGTGCTGTAACAGCCGCTCATTCTCTTTAATGGGTATCAGTAACCATGGTATGATTACACCACAAACTGCTGACTCATTCTACTGATGGACAGATCACTCTTTCTTTGTGCGTAATCTGCTTTTCATTCTCTAAATCTCTAATTAGTTCTTTTTAGTAACTACCTGTTCTTGTTTTTAACCTCCTATTCCTATTTTAGGGCCATAATTCTCTCCTCTGTCTCTCAGAACATGAAGTAGGCTTATTCAAGTGCCTTTACTCCTTGCTCCGGTTCCTTAGGGGTGAGGCTCTTCACTTGTTGAGCATATTGTCTCTTTTTCACGGGCGTGGTCTTTCTCAGATGCCTGCCTGTCTCCTCCTTCCCCAGAGCCCCTCCATGCACCTCCTGGCCTTGGCTGGCCTCCTGGAAGGTGCCTACTTTTGCTTCCTGAGTCTTGGCCAGTGTGCCTGTGAGGTCTGCCTTGCAGTTGGTGAGGTGCTTACTCGTCCCGGTCATCACGGTGGCCTCCTGGGGCTGCAGGGGGGGTAAACACGGGCATGGCAGCTCCAGCCTCGCAAGGCTGTCTCTCCCTAGAACTGCGACCCCGGCTGGCTTCTGGGTCTTCATGTCTACTTCCTTCCGTATTTCAGAGTGAGTCACACCTTCAGGGTTCTCTGAGAATCCCTCTTTTTATGTGTGGCTTTAAATACATATATTTTGCATTATTTGGGAATGTTCTGGATGGGAATGGGAGATTTAAGCTTGTACCATACTTGGCATTCATGGATTCTTTTTAATCCTTTCTGTTTTTATTTGAGTATTATAAAACATAATTCAGCCCTTATAGTATGTCTTCCCTGCCAAAAAAACACACCAAAAACTTTGAGTTGAAAGTAAAACAGGCACAAAAAGAGATTAAAAGTGGGTAAAGATATGCACTTGCAAAATTCCTTGTTCCCTCCAAATCCAGTTTGCTTACTCTCTTACTTCAGCTATGCGCTGAGGCTTCCACTTTGTCTCGTGGTAATATATTTTCAGTTCAATAAATACATATTTCAGATAAATACACTTTGAATTCAGCCTCATCCTATAGGTACCCATCCCCACTCTCTGCTCATCCTAATGTTTAACTTCTGCCGATTTTACAGAGGGAACAACACAAAGACAAATACTACAATTGAATAGTTGCTAGAATTCTAAGACTAATGGTGAGGGACTAGTAATCTTTCTATAACAGAATTTGATACTGTTTGAAATCAAGACTCGTTATGAACACATCTCTACTTATGAACATATTCCTACTCTACAGCCTCAACAACAAAAAAATCAAATGTAAAGAGCAGCATGATTTCAATAAGGAAAATGATCAGTTTTGAGCATAACCTTTTGATCAATATAAAACTGTTTCAGTTTTCTAGGCTCTTCTGCTATGAAGTTTTATTCATTCCCGGAGTCTCCAATGAGTGCCCATCCCTTTCAGCTCTGCCCCCAGGTAGCTGAACACTGGTAGAGGACAGCAGGCAATGCCAGGTGGTCTCTCTGTACACGTTTAACCTCACATCTCACGTGGACACTCAGATCTTCCTGGCAACAATCCTCCTACACAACCCTGTGCTTTCCCAGTCTCCAAAATGAGTGTTCTCATTTCCCCTCAAACCTCCTAAACCACCTCTCCTAGTCCTCACGGTCAGCTCATGACCTCGCCTCATACTTTACTGAGGAAATAGAAGCCATCAGTTAGGAACATCTCCATCTTTGCCATCAGCTGGCCTTTGAGGTTTCCTGCATCTGCATTCACAGCCTCTGCCTTTTGTCTTGTAGCTGTGGGTGGAGGTTCCCTGCTCCCATCTAGAGCTGATAAACCTTCCACTTGTCCTTGGGGTTTCACTTGTTGCCTTCTCACGGATGTGCCTGTTACAATTACCTCCTCTCTCCTGCGTCCCTGGTTCCTCCCTCTGTTCTGAATCATCCCCACCTGCACGTGAACATTTTCTGGTATCTCCTTGACATCATATTCTGGCTACTGCTTCCATTTTTCTCTGCCCTTATTCAAAGCCCAGATCCTTGACTTGTCTACAAGCATTCAACTCTTCACTTCACTTTCGCATCCTACTCGAACGGGGCTCTGCCCAGCCCTTTCTCCTTGGATCTCTCTGTTGCCAAGTCTACGGGGTAAGCTTCTGCTTTTATCTTACTTGATTTCACAGCAGCATTTAATATGGTAACTGCACTTTTCTTCTTGAAATGCCACCTTCTCTTGGCTTCTGTGACATAACCCTCTCTGGCGGTTTCTTCTGTCTCGCTGGTTGCTTCTTCTTTTCTCTTTGCTGGTTCTTTCATGTCAGACCACAGACCTGAAAGGCTGGCATGGGCCTCCTCCTCTTCTCTCTCCAGTTCCAAGACTCTATATATAATCTATATACCCATGGTTCCAGAATTTCTATTTGCAGCCTGGACTTCTTCCCAGAACTCCAGATTTGTATGTCTAATAACTTATTTAAGTATTTCTACCTAGACGTTTAGCAGCCATTTCAAACCTAACACAGTCAAGAGACAAATCTTGATTCCATCTTTGTCCCCAGTTCCATGTCCTCCTCCTCAAACTTCTCTTACCTCGGCAAAAAGGACCATGCTTATCTCGATGCTCAAGCCCAAATCTACCTTCATCCCTCTCTACTCCTCTCTCATCTAGCTGATCCCTGAGCAAGTCTTGTCCACTTTCCCCTGAAACACATCCCGACTCTGTCCACCTGGATGCATGATAATTCCTTGTTTCAAGGCACTATCATTGAGCCACAACAGCAACTCTAAATGTCTCCTTGCTTCCTATTCACACAGCAGCCGCAGTGATCTCTCTCTCTCTCTCTCTCCTTTTTTTGGGGTGGGGTAGGGGGAGGTCATTAGGTTTATTTATTTTTAATTAACCTTCTTTAAATGGAGGTACTAGGGGTTGAACCCAGGACCTCATACATACTAGGCATAAGCTCTACCACTGAGCTATACCCTCTTCCCCACAGTGATCTCTTAAAACATCCATGAGATTGTGTTGCTCCCTGCTTAAAGCCACCAATGGTTTTCTATCACACTTAGCCAAAATCTAAACTGTTTAGTCTGGATTACAAAATTCAGTGTGATCTGGCCCCTGGCCATCTCTCTGGTCTCATCCCACACCACTGCCCTGTCACTCAGCATCCTCCAGCCACACTGGACTGTGTTTGGTGCCAAACTTACTGTTGCAACAAAGGTTTTCCCTGGCTGCTGCCTCGGCTCCACCTGCTCTTTTCTCTGACCTGTGTATGACTGGCTCCTTCCCGACACTATAATCTCCTTAGAGACTCTTCTCACCAACTAATATTTTATGTATTTAATCATATTTTTGTGTGGAATCTGTAGTCTAGAAACACAGGAAATGTGCAATAAATGTTTTAAAATAAATGAACTGACGGAATTTAAAACACCATTCTTATGAGTCCCAGGTGTCAATTATCACGATCATTTTTAATAAATAACAATAGAAATAATATCTTACACACGTATTGAGTAAAGACTGTATGTCAGGCACCAGCCTAAGTGCTTTATATTATCTCATTTAATCCTCCAGCAACCCTGTCAAGTAGTTACTATTATTAGCCCCCTTTTTACACATGAGGAAACAGAGGCAGCTTATATGATTTGATTTGCCCAAAGTCAAAAAGCTACGAAATGGCAAAGCCAGGATTCAGGCAGGTGGATGGGTTTTAGGGCCTCTATGAACTACTGAATATTTTGTTACTATTGTAGCTACTAATATCACTAATGACAAGCAGCATTAACTGAACATCTACTGTGTGCCAGCCCCTGGCCATCTCACTTAGGGTCATCGGATCCTCACAACACCAGCTTATGAAGTAGCATTACCACACTCATTTTACAGATGCAGAAACAAAGTCAGAGAAGTTAAATTTCTAGCCCAAGAGCATGCAGCGAACGAGTGGCATAGCCAGGGTTGCAACCCAGATGTGACTCCAAATCCTCGTTTTCTCCCTACTCTACTACACGCCCACATTTTCCCCGTGAAGAATAAAACGTTTTCCCCGCCATGGTCCAAAAACCACAAACCCAAGGGGACCTCCCGCTGATCCTGGGGAAAGTCTTTCACATCTTCAGCTTCCCCAACTCTGCTGTTCATGCACCAGATATTCAGACTGTCTGCTGTGAGCTGATGCATCGTGAAACCCGGGGAGGACCCGTCAGGTTTCTTCGCTCAGTCCCGCCTCACCTGTGAAGAAACTTCTCGTACGTCTGGCGGAAGGCGAACCCTGCCCGGCGCACCCTCACGTTCTCCAGGAGTCCCAGGTACTCCACCTGGTGCCGGCAGCGCTCGTCGTCAAATATCTGCGGGGACTTCATGTCGTTGGGTTTGATGCAACGTACGTAATATGGTTCCTACAGAAATACCAGCGGCAGGTGGTTAAGTTCTGGTGGAGAAAAACCCCAGACTAAGGACACTAATATGCAATCAGCGTTAACTGTGTCAAAGCCAGCTCTGTGCCTCTGGTTCCTCAGGCATACTCTTACAAATAAAGCAGTTACTCTCCCTTTCCCCTCCCTGTAAAGGCTGGAAGCGCTCAGGCATTCCGCAAAAATTTTGTTTTATTATATTGTAGGATTCATCAGAAACAGGAGCAAGGGGATAAAACTAGGGTATAAGTAGTTGAGATATGTAAACATCAAGGTTTTTTTTTGTATTTATGGAAACTCGGTTAAAAGTAACAGAAGGAGTCATTTAATAGGAAACTTAATTTTAATGGAAATTTAATAGAAAGAGGCAGGAGCTGTGGTAAAGACATGCTATCATAAAGAATGGGAAATACGAGGCACAGCCCTGGGACACAGGTAGTGCTCCGTAAGTGCTGTTATCATCCTTGTCATCATCCACCGCCATCATCACCACCACTACCACGTTAGCCTGGACTTTCAAAAAAGAGATTAAAATATATAAGTAGAGAAGTTACAAAATCACCTGCAGGCATCAGTGACTAAGAGAGAGCCTAGCAATAAATCGTTCCCTCTGTGCCAATTAAGTTTTGAACCTTGTATTAGGTCATAACTCTGTTCAAATATAAAACTGTGTTTGGCACAGATCCTGGTACAGTGAAGATAACAAGTCATCACTGGATGAATCACTGGGGTCAAATGTATCCTACTTATTGGTGTAAAGAGTTATTTTCTTCTCTGAATCTGTTATCTATCAGACACACACAGTAGCACTTTAATTAAGAAAGAGTCTTCTGTACTAGGCAGAAGACTACATGAGGCAGTTTTGAGTTCCACTGAGGGCTGGAGGTTGGAAGTAGGGGAGATCTGCTGAATGTGACTTGACTTGTACTCTGAACAGAATAACAGTTTTGACACCTAAACAGGAAGCTCCAAGTGTATAGTGATCATGCTGCCTTCCATGATGAAAAGCAACGTACTTTTCTTCCTTTTTCAAAGGAAAATAGAAATTTCCTACTGTATCAGTTTCCTACGGTTGTAGATTACCACAAAGTTTGTGGCTTAAAACAACCCAAATTTATTCTTGTACAGTTCTGGAGGTCAGCAATGGGTCTCAGCGGGCTACAGATCAGGGTATCACAGGGCTGTGGTTTTCTGGAAGCTTTCGGGGAGAAATCATCTCCTTATTTTTCCAGCTTCAAGAGGCTGCCCACATTCCTTGGCTTGTGGCCTCCTCCCACCTTCAAAGGCAGCAATGGCCTGAAGAGTCCCTTCTCAGGGTGCCATCTCTCTAGATCTGACTCTTTGCCTCCACTTTCCCTTTGAAGGACTCCTGCATTTAAACTGGGCCCACCTGGATGACACAGGATGAGCTCTGTATTTTAAGGTCAGGTGATGAGCAACCTCAGTTCCCTCTTTGGTGTAGATCAAAGACGGGCAGAGGACTGACACGGCTATAAAGCACAAGCAGAAGCTTTCTTTAAAATAGAGTGATGGGTGGCCAAATGTTCATTACATCCAAAATGGTTTTCCAATGGAGCATTTATAGGGGGAGGTACGTAGCTTACTTTTAAAAGGGGCTTATACCATTTTAAC